GCGTCCTCCTGCAGTACACGTATTATTGCAGCCTCTTCAAACAAGCATTTGAGATCTCCTACTTAGCAAATATCTGTCTAAATAATAATAAGTATTATACCTCGTAAGGCCATAAAATATTAGTAGAGGTTTTTAAGCCATCATAAAGCGACAGGGTCTCTAACAGTCTCAGCGACTCCCCCAGCAGGGCCCTTTACCTTCCCACCGCTTGTCCTGCTCGCGGGGATGGACCGTGTAGTGGGTGGTGAGCCGCGGCGCGGCGGAAGTGGACGCCCATCTCGCGGGGCAAGGTAGACGACTTCTCTTAATTTTTAAGGCATGAAGGCACAGGGATGCTGCAGAAAAATACGGAATCATCACCTCAGATGTTTTCAACAGCATTTGAATGATAAAAAAAAAAGTGTAACTAGAATTATTGTTTTCCCATAAAACAATATTTTCAAATCTTAAATATCTTTTTTTTTTCAGCCTAAGCTTTAAAAAAAAGATTTATTTATTTGGAAGGGAGAGTGAGTCTCCATCTGGTCCCCAAGTGGCCATGAGTAGGACCGAGGGCAAGCTGGAGCGAGGACTTCCTCCGGGTCCCCCAGTGGGTGGCAGAGGCCAGCTCCCCGGCCCCCGTGCCTCCCCAGGCGCATCAGCAGGACCGGAACTGAAAGCAGAGCCACTGGACTCACACTGGACTCTGACAGAGCTTCTGGCATCAGAGGCAGGGGGCTTAACCCACTGCCCCCAACTCCAGCCCTACATCCTCCTTCAAGGCTGCACTACCCACAGGAGTGTGCGGTGTATCGAAGACGTGCATGCAAATCAGGCGGGACCGTCCCTCATGGAACCGCGTGGAGCCAGCTCATCATGGGAACACGTCTTCCGTCAGAATCCCGGATCAGAGACTGCAGCCAAGACGGCCAGCTGCAGAGCAGGCTGCGCACACCCACAGGTGCGTGCTTTGACTGTGCAGTGTGGTAGGAATTCCTGACTGGCTTCTGATGACCAGAGAAAGCCATCAACTTTCCAGCAGAGAAGTGAGGCACCACTTTAGCCAAGCGGCCCTGTTTACCATACTAGCAATGGCACACTGCTGCCATGGATCCCCGGCAGGATGCAATGAGAAGGGCTCTCATCTCTGGCTCACAGCCACAGCATCCAGTCCCACGAAAGCAGACGCACGCGGAGAGCCCTTCTGCCAACGGCCTGACGGGTATGCACCAGTGTTAAAGTCACCACAAAGAACTGCCATACTCAAGCAAACCGAGACGACGTGACAAGCACCTGCTTCCGCAGGGGCCTGCAGCCGAGAAAGGGCATCTGAGCTGTATAGTTGAGTTATCAGAATTTCATCAATGCTAAATTTCTTAGATAATTACGGTGATATAATATATTGAGCTCAGCACAGGATATATGGGGAATTCTATATAATGTCTTTGCAACACAAATGTAAGCCTAAAATTATCTCAAAAAGTTAGAAAAAGTTCTAGCGGTAATACTCCAGAGGAAATCAATGGGTGGAACTTGGAGAGGGACAGAAAATCCCGGAGCCTACGGGACTGCACCATAAAACAATAAAGAAATTTAAAAAGTTCTAGCGATACAACAGTTAACTCTGAAGAGTTAACAAACACCTAAATAAGAGCTAAAACTACGAAACGCTCGGGGAATAAAACAGGCATAAATCTTTACAACCTTGAGTTATGCAACAGTTTCTATGACATGACAACCAAAAATACAAACAAAAGAAAAAGTAGTTAAACCTGATTTCACATAAATTAAAGCCTTGGGTGTTTCAAAATATACTGTCAAGAAAATGAAAAGATAATCCATGGGACAGGAGAAACTATTTTTTTTTTAAAGATTTATTTATTTATTGTAAAGTCAGATACACAGAGAGGAGGAGAGACAGTGAGGAAGAGCTTCTGTCCGATGATTCACTCCCCAAGTGAGCACAACGGCCAGTGCTGTGCCGATCCGAAGCCAGGAGCCAGGAACTTCTTCCAGGTCTCCCACGCGGGTGCAGGGTCCCAAGGCTTTGGGCCGTCCTCGACTGCTTTCCCAGGCCACAGGCAGGGAGCTGGATGGGAAGCGGGGACGCCAGGATAGAACCGGCGCCCATATGGGATCCCGGGCGTTCAAGGCGAGGACCTTAGCCACTAGGCCATGCTTCTGGGCCCAATATTTTCAAATCATGTATCTGATAAGGAATTTATCTATAGACTACATATAATCCTTTCATCTAATAATATAATGAAATATAGTTGATAAAACTTATAAAAGACGATACAATCAAAGAACAGGGGTAGCTACGAGCCCAATATGCATCAAGTACCCTGAAATTCAGGTTGATATCCAACCTACAATCCTTTTAAACATTCTATCAAGGTCTGAGACTGTCACTAAAACTTAACTCTGAAGTTATGAATCCACCACTGTGCTCGAAGAGAATCAGCTTGTCTCCTTCCCTTGCAGCACTGCGAGAGTACATGCGTTAATAAAAATCAGGTGGCATCATTTTTATTTTTTGAACATATAACTGCACAGTGTTTTTTGATGTTTTATTTTCCCAATTGTTATGTTTTTTTTTTTAAGATTTATTTTTATTATTTTTTCATTGGAAAGGCGGATATACAGAGAGGAGAGACAGAGAGGAAGATCTTCCGTCCGATGATTCACTCCCCAAGTGAGCGCAACGGGCCGATACTATGCCGATCCGAAGCCAGGAGCCTCTTGCGGGTCTCCCACGCGGGTGCAGGGTCCCAAAGCTTTGGGCCGTCCTCGACTGCTTTCCCGGGCCACAGGCAGGGAGCTGGATGGGAAGTGGGGCTGCCGGGATTAGAACCGGCGCCCATATGGGATCCCAGGCGTGCAAGGTGAGGACCTTAACCACTGCGCCACCGCGCCGGGCCCAATTGTTATGTTTTTTAAAGGTTTATTTATTTTTTTTTACTGGAAGTCAGATTTACAGAGAGAAGGAGAGACAATTCTATCTGCTGGCTCACTCCCTAAGTGGCTGCAATGGCTGAAGCTGAGCTGATCGAAAGCCAGGCGCCAGGAGCCAGAACCTCCTCCAGGTCTCCCATGTGGGTGCAGACTCCTAAGGCTTCGGGTCATCCTTAACTGCTTTCCCAGGCCACAAGCAGGGAGCTGGTTGGGAAGTGGAGCAGCCAGGAGAAGAGCAGGTGTCCATATGGGATCCCTGTGCATGCAAGGTGAGGACTTTAACCACTAAACTACATTGCTGGACTCAGAGTGCAGATTATTCTTTATAATAAAAATATAAAAAGCCACAACCTTTCCTCCCTTTCTGAGAACAAATCCACTCCGTCACTTTAGACAGCCGATCACTTAGGTGCCGTGGCTGCACTGTGTTAGAGGGGAGGGCGCAAAGTCCACGGAACTCCTAACACCACCGGACCCGTCGCAGCAGCACACTGATGCGCGCACCTTCGCTGCCAGTAGTTCTGGAACAGTCGAGAATCAGCATGCAGAGAAAACACAAACAGCGCTTTTCCCAGGATTTGGTTAGCGCAGGACCTCATCCAAGCCAGGCTGTAGGGCAGCCAGCCACTGCGTCCCTAAATCTTTCACAAAAGCGCAAAAGCACACCTCCCGTGAAGCCTTAAACAAAGCTCTAACTCCGCAGACAGCAGCCAGATCTAACAAAATTCTACCTTCGTGACGTTTACACAAATACACGCTCCAATCTGCAACACGCACGTTTATGTACCATTAAAAACACGAAGCCAACTAGGACACAATCCACGCCCTCTCGGAGCCTTTGCCTGAACTACAATTTCTTATTATTATCATTAATTGAAAAGACTGTATCCAGCTGCATCAAGAAACTCTTGAACTATTCTAAGCAGCCCGCAGCCCGCACCTGTCGGCCGTGCCCCAGGCTTAGGCGACCTCTCAGTAATATTCCAGGTTCCAGACAGAAGCTGGTGGCGACTCAGGGAGCATAGGAACGCGGGGATCACGACGTGGCCGAATCACCACGCACACGGAAAGGGGGGAAAGCTAAAACACACAGGGAAACGCAGGCCACCCACGCCCCGGGCCAGCGCAGGGCTGACAGCTGGCCTCTGTCCGTGAACTTTGGCCCAGATGCGAGGCCCTTCCAACTGGGGCGAACCCGGGGGGCTGGACGCCAGGCCCGGCAGCAGGTGCAGCGGACGGCGCGCAGAGGGCACGGCCGGCAGCGGGCAGTGGGCAGTGGGCAGCGGGCAGCGGGCAGCGGGCAGTGGGCAGCGGGCAGTGCCCGCAGCTGCCGCCCGTCCGCATCGCCCGCCCCGGGGCTCCCCTCTCACCCGGGCAGGAGAGCCTGGCCAGCGGCGCCGACATGTTCCCAGCGGCCCCTGACACTGCCGGAGTCCTGCGGGTCGGCTCGCCGGGAGCGCGGCACCCCCTAAGCCGCGAGGGCCGTCATCGCCTGCCAGAGGCACCCCGAACTCCTCTCTGCCCAAGTTCGCTTCTCGAAGCCTCAGCCGACCGCCCTTGCTCCGCGGCCGTTCACGCCTCTCTCTCGCTCTGCGCCGGCGCCACACATGACGCGTGAAGGCCAGCAGAGGCTTCCGGGTCATGTAATTGGGGAGAAAAAAAAAAAAATGAAAGAACAAGGACTCCAAGTCCCGGCACGTCCCGCGGCTTCAGGCCGCACACCCGGGCCTGCACTTCCTTCTCGAAATCCCCGGGCGCAGCGCGTGCGCGGCGACGCAAAGCGGGAGGCGGAGCGGCGCGCGCGGCCTCCTGGGAGTTGTAGTCTTCTGCTCCCTCACGCCGCAGCGGCCTCCCAGCTGGCGGGCAGGTGGGCACAGCGGCCGGGAACCGCCCAAAGGCTCGCCGCCTGAGCTCTGATTGGCTGTCGGAAAGCAGCGGCGTCTTTGTGGTTCTGGGTGGACTCTTCAGCCAGGAGACGAGGCGGGACTTGGGGCGGGAGGCAGGGAGGTGGCGCCTTTGGGTTTTGGGCGCGAGCGGTTGAAAAGACGTTGGGTTGTCGGTTGGGCAGCTCCCCGCAGCCCTCCGGCCATGGCCGACCCTGCCGGGTCGCGGGCTGCCTCGCCGCCTTCGCCGCCCTCGGACGCCTCCTCAGCCTCCGCCCCGGGCTCCCCGGCCGGCCGGGGCTGGCGAGCCTGCGGCGGGGACCCGCTCGAGAGAGTGGAGCTGCAGATCGGAGACGTGAGTGAGGCAGCGGGGGGCAGGGGACCCCGGTGCTGCACGCTCCGGGAACCCGGGAGCCCCTCTTCTCCCCCGCTGCTCTCCCCTGCAGCCCGCCAGAGCTTGTTGGGATCAGCCTGCGATGTGTTAGAGCCCCGCTGGCCGCCTGCCTCGTGGGCTGGCTGGTCACGCTGCCCCGTCCAGCTGGCTCCGCGCAGGACCCCGGGTCTGCAAGGTTCAGGCAAGGTCACTCTTGCAGCCTGGAATTGCTTGCATGAAAGGGTTTGCTGCAAAGCGGGAGCATCCTGCACTTTTTCTGCGACACCCTGAGAATCCCCAGAAAACTAGCACCCACCTGCCACCCCTAGCGCACGCCCCAGCAGAGGGGAGGAGGTGGGCGCGGATTCGCGAGGGGGTCGGGGGGAGTGAGAGCTGGAGGGGGTACCCTTCGTGGGGGCAGCTGCGGGCATGGGACCTGGAGAATGGACTCGGCTCCACACGGACTTGGTGGTTGTTTTTAATAAGGACTAATGTGCTGATCCGACTTTTTTTTTTTTTAATAGAGTGGGGTTGGCTTTATTTAGAAACCGTGGTATTTTATGCCTTAGATGAAGGAAACGTTTAAGAGGATGAATTTAGCATCAAGAATTGTTTGGGCGTGTGTGTGTGTGTGATTTTGTTGATGAAATCACAGCTCACAGGGTCGCGATGCCTCTCCTAACGCTGAGATGTTCCTGTTGAAGTTGTTCAGGTACACCCCGCACCGGGGGCCGGAAGTCCGATCACCTTATTGAATCGAGGGAGACTCCTCCTGAGGGTCTTCCATGAAAACCAAAATGTCAACTTGGTTATGGTTTTTCTTGTTTTTCTTCCCCAGTGGGTCTTGACATTTCCTCACAGTGTACTTAAAAGTCAGTATTCCTTTAGGTTCCCTGGAAAGAGTTGATGGTCTAGTTTGAAACAGTATTACCTTTATTTCATAAAGGTTTATTTATTTATTGGACTAGGCAGAGCCACGTGGGGGGGCGGGGGAAGGAAGGAATGGACCTTCCATCCTCTGGCTCACTGCTCCGCTCGCCATGAAGGTCACGGCCGGGAGCCAGGCCCTCCTGGGTGTCCCGTGGGGGGCCAGGGCCCTAATACCTGAAGTCACCTCCCACTGCCCTCCCAGGCACATTTGTAGGAAACTGGCTGAGTGTGTTGCTTTGTATAAAATGAGATGAGATTTGAAAACAATAATAAAGTTGTTTTAACTTTTTTCTTCTCAGGCAGCATTTTCCCTGGCCAGGCTCCTGGAAGCCACGTCCGCAGTGTCGGCTCAGGTAGAAGAGCTTGCCTCCAAATGCACAGAAAACGCTCGGTTCCTCAAGACGTGGCGAGACCTCTTGAAAGAAGGCTACGAGTCTCTGAAACCCGACAACTGAGGTGTCCCATTGGTCATCACATTGGAGTGATGACCAGACACCTGTGCTCCTCCTGTTGGCAGCGTCAAGATCGCATGAGTCGTACTTTGACCGACTTAAAGGAAGACATCTTCTTTTTGATGGGGATGTGTACTTTGACAATAGCTTTAAAAAACGTATACCTGACAGAGCTTTCTGCGATGCTTGTTAAACGTCGTCGGGAACTGAAAGCCTGCTTAGGAAGGGTGAGATGTGCCATGGTTAGCATTTCTTGTAGTTATCGCTCTCTCCAAAGTGCCTTATCTGACGAGTGGCTTTGTGCTGGTACTGTTAGGGCACTCCAGGTTACTTATGTAATATTTCAGAAGCGTTACTTTGCTGCCAGTGCATCAAACCCAAGCGCTGTGGTTGCCTCAGTGTCATTGGATCTGAGTGACAACGTTCTGTCTCATCTGCCCTGTATCACATTGCTTTGTCGTGGTCTGTGACATGAGTTAACCGGTTGGCTGATTTTCTGCTTTAAATAGCTTCCGGACATCTTGCACAGGCCGTCTAAATTTTTTGTAAATAAGGAGATATGTACAGAACCTTATTCTGACGCCTCACAGTGGGGCTGTGGACGGGGACAGTAGGATGGGCGAAGGACACTTATGTTTATTGTATTATGTCCTAGTTCTTGATCAGTATTTTTAGTTCAAAATCATACATAACGATGTGATTTCTATGACAAAGAAATGCTTATTTCAGTATTAGTCTTGTAAAAGGTTATCTAAAAAATGTACAGAAATAAACTTATTTACTTGAATTGCATTTCTGTTTCTTTGAGTTTATAACTTCAGACATCACTCTGGTTTGAGCATGGATGTCTTTGGACGGGATTAGCATTGAAGTCCATAGGCTGAGTAAGGCCGATTAGGCTCTGTGACTTGAATAGGCCTCATCGGCTCTACGGGTGGCTTGAATGGAAGAAGGGAAGCCGGCCCTCTACCTAGCAAGGGACGATCCTGCCGGGTAGCTCATGCAGGGGGACCCTGGGTCCTTTGGGCCCTGCAGCAGCCTGCCAGCCTGCAGCTTGGGAGCTGGACGTCAGCTCTGGGGCCTTTCAGGTTTGCCAGCCTCCACAATGAGGCGAGCCAAGTCCTTCTAATATCCCTCCTCGTCCCTCGGAGTGTGTGTGTGTTTCTATGGAGAACTAGAGTAATAATACACTATCCCAAAATAGAATGCTTGTACTAGCAACTAGCATTCCAACCCCACCCCGGCCCGGTGTGTATGTGTTAACAGCTCTGTTGACCAAAGATTAAGAGAACAGAAAATCACACTTCTATGGAGCTAATTAGTCTCGCATTCTGAGAAGATCCAGACTCAGGCAGCACTGAAAATCAGCCCCGAGTTATCACAAGAGTGGACAAAGTTTGGGCTGGCAGAGGGCGGGCTGGGGCACAGTGGGAGAGTCTCTGAATTTCAAAAATGCATAATCAAAATCCACCAATACTCCAGTACAGATGTCTAATGAGCAGTTGTATAATAAGTGACCTCTCGTGAAAGAGAGCAGGTTAAATGCAAAATGTGGGGTTCGTGGGTGTATACAGAGACCGACTGAATTCACTGAAGGAGATGGTCAAGTAGGTTGAGAAATGAGTGACGCTTCACAGGTGTCTGGGCAAACAGGTGGCTTCGTTGGCTCAGAGGGCATCTCCTGCCGTGGCCACATTTCCATCCAAACGTATGACGGCGGACCTGCTTTCTGCCTCCCTTTGCTGCCCATAGACCTTCTTCGCCTGTAGTTAAACCAAAGCTGATGGATCATTTCTTTGAATGGTCTTGTAGTCAAAGTATAGAGAATTGGATTCAAAGCACTGTTAATAGGCAGAATAAAAATCACCACCCAAGAGGTTATGGTACCTGGAACAACAACAACAACAAAAAGGAAATCAGTTTAGACTTTGTGGATGTTGATCATGTATAGTAACTCCCTTTTCCTGTAGTCTTCTGTCCTCGACCTTGTTTTGAGTTGTTTTTGCCCTTCGCTGTCATAAGGATGACTTGCTTCCAGGATGTCATTCCCAAATGGCACTGTTGGACGTGCTGGCGCTGACAAAGGACAACATTCTTTGCTAACGGGTTTTCTTGAGCACATCAACAAACATATCCCAGTAGGTGGAAATACTTTCTCCATAGACGAAGGATTTATTATGGGTCTAGGTTTGGAAAAACTTCATTGTGTAGTGTTTTTTAAAAGATTCATTTTATTTGCTTGAAAGAATTTCAGGGAGTGACAAACTTTCATCTGCTGCCTCACTCCCCAGATGGTTGCAAAAACCAAGGCGAGGTCAGGAGCTTATTCCGGGTTTCCCATGCAGATGGCAGGGACTCAAGCGCTTGCATCATCTTCCACTGCTTTCCCCAAAGCACTCGTGGGAGTTGGCTCAAAAGTGAAGCGGCTGGGACAAGAACAGCTGTCCACACAGAATGCAGCTCCACAAGCATCGATTTTACTTGCTATGCCACACCCCGGCCTCTGAATTGTGCAGTGTTTACATCTTATCTTTTCAAATATTCCAACTACTGGATAGTGTATACTACATTTCTCAGAATACGCGGGCTTTGTTTTCTTTTCTTCTCTTTATCTGAGTCTAAAAATAGCCATGCAGTGGAAGGCTGGACTGCAGGTTCCAAAATCAGACACAAGTGGTTGGTTCTGATGTTCTACAGCACAGAGGGAAACTACACATCACCATAGTATCTTGTTTCTAAAGATTGATTTATTTTCACTGGAAAGGCTGATGTACAGAGAGAAGGAGATGAGAGAGAAAGATCTTCCATCTGCTGATTCACTCCCCAAGTGGCCGCAAGGGCCAGAGATGAGCTGAGCTGAAGTCAGGAGTTTCTTCTGGGTCTCCCGTGTGGGTGCAGGGTCCCAAGGCTTTGGGTGGTCCTTGACTGCTTTCCCAGGCCATACGAACCAGAGCCCATTTTGTGTATCCATTTACCTAATTCTGGAAACATTTATTGCTGTATTTTTTGGCTACTGCAAATGATCCTGTTATGAACAAGGTTCTAAAAATAGCTGCCTGAGGACTTACTGTCAATTATTTTGGGTATTTATTGAGTAGTGGAGTGGTTGAATTGTGCGATAATTTTATTTTTAATTTCTGTGGAAGTGTCTTACTCTTTTCCACAATATCCAGAACCGTCTTATCAGCCTGGAAGCAGTGCGCGAGCGTTCCAGTCTCTGCGCATGCTCAGCGCTGGCTAGGGTTTGGTGTAAGTGTGGGCTCAAAGGTCATAGCCATCTAGTGGATGCGATGTATGTGATTTTAAAATACCAACAATCTGTTTTCTATCGTTTCTCACGTTCTTCACTAATGTTATCTGAAGTGTATACATGCCAAGAGCAAATACTTCTTACAGTTAAAAAAAAAACAACAACGATGTAATGATGAGATTTTTGATTTGTCTTATTTTCCTTTCTGTCCATCTTTAGCAGGCAACTAACATCACCACCGTGTGGTACCCATTTAGGTCACTGTTTCTTCGTTGCAATCGGTTTATTAGGCATTTAGGAGAGACTAAATGGCTGAAGACTTTTGATTCTTGAAACTGGTTAGTTTTAAGAATCTTCCTCCCCTTTCTTGGACGAACACTGCATAAACAAAGGCATTATTTCATCAATGAAAGCAAGAAAGCTGTACCTGGTATTTCTACTTGCAGAAGCGAAAGAAATTTCAGCACAAAAATGGGTATCCAGCACAGGGCATCAGTAAACACGATAAAGAAGAAGCGCTTGGCGAGGGCCACCTCCCTTCTGACTTGACTGCATATTTCACTCGCTGTCAGGGCGCTCTGACGGACGCTGTAAAACATGCTTCCGTAGGAAAAGACAACGATGATAAAAGCTGCCAAGTTCACACCTGTTTAGAACGCAAGGGGCATTGTTACTGGGTGTGAACATTCTTCGAAAACAGACAAAGCAAATTCTTAAGCTGTTATTGAAGATGTAAAGACCATCACATATTTTTTGATTCTTCATAAAGAATTACTAAGATGCGGAAAGGTTATGTATATATATATATATATATATATATTTGCAGTTGAAGGATTGCTGAAGCAGGGGACAATGCTGAGATACTTAAAAATGCCACATTTAGATGGAATTTTGGCTTTTTGATTAATATCTTGGGTCTTTAAGATTTCTACCAGTGATTTTTTTTTTCATAATTACTTTGTGCTATAATTTGCCAATCTTTTCACATGGCTTATTTAGAATAGTTGTACACAAACTCTTAAGCCAAAGAAATGTGTGGGTATACACATGAATTTGAAAAGGTCATAGATGATGTTACACTTTATTATAAGGGGAAAGAGTGAACTTTCAATATTAGAGCCTGGCAATATTAGAGTGAAACCTTGAGGTACACATGTTTACTACCTTTGATTAAGTCCATCATGTTGGAATTCATACGATAAAAGAAAGCTCTGTGTGCCAAAATATTCTATTAGCGATTCTGATAGAATTTATTACCACTTTTGATGAGAAAAGTCGATTCGAAAATTTTAGTAAAGATTTCTAAACTTTTGAAAACATAATAGTTGTCTTATTTTGAATGATCCCTGCATTGGAATGAAAGAGTTTATAATGCAGAGTGCCTTACCCAGAAAAATTGTTACTGAATAAATCTGGGCTCCAAGACTTTCTGCATCTTCTGAGTGAAGGGGAAAGCAGACTCCGTTGGCGCCGTAGTAGTTCCTGAAAAATTCCTGATCGCTTAGTGGCGTGAAAGCCACTATAAACCCGATCGTCCAAATGAGAATCAGAACTGTCACGGTTCTACGCTTTTTAGGTCTTAAACATCGAAAAGGATACACAATGCAGATGTACTTCTCCAGCGTCAGAAACGTCAGGACTAAAACTGACACCTCGGTGGACAGAACGGCCAGAGAGCCCATCAGCTGACAGTGAAGACTGTCCATCCACAGCCGTGCGTGGCTGTTGTACTCCCCGCGAAATCTGACATCAAAGGCTCCGATCACAAACAAGTAGACGCCCATTAAGCAGTCAGCACCTGCAGGGGTCAGAAGGTTGTGCAGATACAGAGAAAAGAGAGATTTAATAAGACGATCAATAAGCAATGATGTTTTAGTTACTGGAAAAAAAACCTTCAAATTTCAAAAAAGGGGAGAGGGTGTGGTCCAATAACTCAACTGGCTAATCCCCCTCCTGAGAGAGCTGGCCTCATCTATAGGTGCCGGTTCATGTCTGGCTACAAAGGTCTTCCCATCAAGACCCTTGCTTATACGACTTGGGAAACCAGTGGGGGAGGCTAGCCCAAAGTCTTGGGACCATGCACCTGTGTGGGAGACACAGAAGAGGCTCCTGGCTTCAGATTAGCTTAGCTCAGGCTGTTGGTGCCATTTGGGGAGTGGAATCAGCACATGAATTACCTTTATCTTAGTCTCTTCTGTCTGTAAATCTGCCTTTCCAATAAAAGCAAAGAAAATAAACAACCAAAAGCCCAAGTTTCTTCTATCTTGGAACCAAGTTTTTCTTTTTCTTTTTTTTTTTTTTTCTCTAAGACTCCTTTATTGATGAGGACCTATTCATCAAGTCTCTTTGGTGGCCTTATCTCTTAGCAGTTAATTAAGCAATAGTTTCTTTTCCTTTAAGACACAAGTCTGTAAGCAGGGATTTTGTCTATTTTGTCTATTTTGTCTGTCGGGGCGGTACGGGCATAAAGCAGGCCGTGTGGCTCATCTGACAATCCTTCGAAATAGCTTCTTGTTCTTCTTTCTTTATTTTGTAGTCCTTTTGTGATCATATTCAAAAGCATTAAGACATCAATATTGTCTGGAAAAAGGCTCACTTGTATATTTTAAGATATGAGTGCAAAGGATTCTAATAGCTCAGAGGTCAGAAAAATAATTAGCCGTGGAATCTATGAGCTGCACATGCAAATTAAAAAAATACGTACAGCTCATGATATAAAAATGTGATGACCATAGAGGCTTGCAATTTTATTTGCATGAAAATATTTTAGAAGCGCCAACAAAATATGCCTTAGAGTTACTGTATGAGAGAAACCAATGAGAGCGTCACTAATCTGTTTATGGTCATAGCCTTTCGCTGCTTTAGAAACCTACTTTTTTAAAGGTTTGTTTTTGTTTGAAACACAGATTTTACAGATACACACACACACACAGGTCTTCCATCTGTTGATTCACTCCCCAGATGGCCACAATGGCTGAGTTCATCTGAAGCTGAGAGCCAGGAGCTTCTGCCCAGGCCTCAAGGCGGTACAGGGGCCTAAGGACTTGAGCCATCCTCTGCTACTTTTCCTGCCATAAACAGGGAGCTGAATCGGGAAGTGGAGCATCCAGGACACAAACTGGTGCTTACCGTTAGAGGATTAGCCTGCCGTGCCACCACTTTGGGCCTTCCTTCATATCACTTGAGTGTTACCATTTTGATCACAGGAAATGTGAAAGCAATACATGTTCACAAATGAAGAAAATGTTTCGGTCCCATAATCCTGCCACTCACAGAACTTACTTTCTAACACAATGCGTCCGCATGTTTCAGAACACTCACAGCAGAGAGAGACGATGGACATGGCGTGCGGCTTGTTCTCAGACCGGATGTAAGGTCGCATACAGATGACAAAGATGTTTCCGAAGCAGGTGACCGCGGATACCACCCAGACAAACACTCTCTGGACGATGCTCGCCAGGAGGTCCTCCAGGGACGAAATCCCGTCCGTGTTGGGTTTGCAGCTCCGCACGTGTGGCGCATAGCCACAGTACTGGAATTTCTTAAAATATCTGGTATACAAAGAGAAGGTAAGGTGGGGTTTTAAATTTAACTCAGTGTCACCGTACAAATGGTATTCATTTGCTACATTTCTTTGGAAGAAAGAAAAAGCCTTCTCTGAGATTCAAAGGAATGGGACACGTTAGCGATTGTGAAATTTTAATTTTGAATGCCTGTTAGCTTAATGCACACTAATTTAATGTGAAAGCCTGTGCAGGTGACAACAGCAAGCAGGCATAGCCAGCACACAAGTGTAAGACACAGCTTAGGATATGAACAAACTGTCAGCACATGATCAAGAAGGTGACTCCTCTGTAGAATTTGGTTCAGGGGCGTTCCCTGAAGTTTCTTTAGCCAGGGCTCTCGTCCCTCACGCGGAGGCTCGGCCCTTATGGCTGAATCAGATCCCCAAGTCCCCGCTGCTTCAGGTCATCACACGTGCGATTAGGGTCCCAACACAGGGATCTGGGGCATAAGTAAACATCGTGCTTGTAGCCGGCAAATCGGTAGCAACTATGCATAGATTGGATGCGCTGAACAGAAACGTGCTGTCACATAAGGCGGAGGCAGAGGGACTAAAATCCAGGGGGAGAAGCAGGAACAACAGCACTCACATGTAGGAGAGATTCAGAAGAGGTCTAAACATCCTTTGCTGGATATTCAGAATCTCGATTCCTTCTAGGCTGCTAAAAATATCAAAGTAATCGTCAACCGAAAGAAGCGCATATGACAAGATGAGGGGTGTAAGTGTGTCTGGGACCACGTGGCAAAATGCGTTCAGCTAACACTTATTCTGAACGAATCACACTCAGACACCCTGCCCGCTTCCTTACCTCCTCTTCTCTGGGATGCTATTATTCAGGCATATGTATCTCCCCTAGGCTTTTTTCAAGATGTACTCATTTGTATTGCAAAGTCAGATTTACAGAGAGAAGGAGAGAGAGAGAGAGAGAGAGAGACCTTCTGTCTGCTGGTTACTCCCTAAGAGGCTGTAACGGCTGGAGCTGAGCCAATCCGAAGCCAGGAGCCAGGAGCTTCATTTGGGTCTCCCACATAAGTGCAGGGTTCCAACGCTTCGGACCATCCTTGACTATTTTCCCAGGCCACAAGCAGGGAACTAGATGGGAAGAGCAGTAACTGGGACACACACTGGTACCCATATGGGATCCTGGCGCGTGCAAGATGAGGACTTCAGCCACTAGGCTACCATGCTGGACCCTCTAATTCTTCAGGGAATTTTAAAAAATAAAATATGTTTTAGTGAGGAACTATTTAAATGATATGTATTGAAACATTATTTAAAAACTATTAGATACTAACAGACTTCTTATCATATTCTTTTTCGTGTGGTATCTGTAATGATTTGTGTAATATAGAATATTCTGTGTTGAAACAAGGACGCCATATAGTAATAATTTCTTAAGTACTTGTTGCTTGTGGAACAACGATGAAGATACTTTCAAGGTGTCTGAGCAAAATGTCAATATAAACTGCTTGTGTCTTGCCTAGTGCAATGGCTCAATGGGTAAATCCTTGCCTTGCAGGTGTTGGCATCCCCTCTGGGCTCAGGTTCATGTCCTGGCTACTCCCTAATTCCTGACTGTGGCCTGGTAAAGCAACAGAGGATGGCCCAAAGCCTTGGGATCCTGCACCCATGTGGGAGACACTCAGAACAAGTTCTTGACTGCTAGCATTAGGTCAGCTGAGGTCTGGCCTTTGAGACCACTTGGGGAGCGAGCCAGGGAAGATTTTTCTCTCTGGTGACTTATACTCCTGTTCTCTTATTCAAAAATACATATTATTGTATTTTTAGTTTATAAATGTAAGCTAAAAGTAATTTCTATTTATGCTGAGCAAGGGCTCATTTGTTTTTATGTTAATATTTGTTATTATTATTGTTTTAACCAACATCCTGGAAATAAAGCTGTGAAACATATTATTAGTGTTTAAATAATGATTTTTATTAAAAATATCACCATATGTATATACTTACAGAGACTTGAGGCTGACAAGGTAATCAAATTGGTTTGCTGAAATTTTCTGGATTGGATTATGAGAAAGATTCCTGTGTTTTTTTTTTTAAAGAAAGACAAAATTAGGTTACTTCTGAAAGCTACTTGAGTTATCTGTTGATTCTGAGTTATCACCGAACATTTACTAAGAAGGTAAAATACAAATTGAAGTGGATTAAAGGTTTAAGTGGAAGACCCGGAAGTGCAAACACACCAGAGGAAATGATAGAGGTGCCTGGTCTGGGCAATGGCTTATTTATTTATTTACTTATTTAGCTATGACTCCAAAAAACACAGACCAAAGAAGGGAAGAGAGAAACATGAAAATATATGAGACTGGGAATTTTCTGCTCAGCCAGAGTGAAGTGACAATGCACAGACTGGAAGCCAGAGTTTGCAAAGCCTATTCTGAGGAGGTGTTAGTGTCCAACGCTAACATGGAATTCAGGTCAGTAGGAAAACAAGTGCTAGGCAAAGGTCACGAACAGGGATTTCTGAAATGAAGATGTGCAGATGGCCAATGGGCACGTCTAGAAAGGTTGGACATCTCCCATCAATAGAGAGACGCAAACCAGAACCGTGATGAGTTCTCATCTCATGCCTGTTGGAGCGGCCATCATCAAAAAGTTGGTAGACGAGAAGCGTTGGGGAGACGGTAGGGAAAAGGTTGCCCTCATGTGCCACTGGAGGGAATGTAAGTTAGTGCCAAGGTGAGGAAGCATGTGATGGAGTTCCTCAAAGAGCCTAACTATGTACAGAACTCACAGCTCTCCTGTGAAGGGGATGCCTGTGTTTACTGCAACGTTATTCACAATAGTCAAGATACAGACTTGATCTGTGTCTCTGTCAACTGATGAATAGGTGAAGGAAATTTGCCTTATACACACAAAGGAATGAGTCTGCCTTTAAAAAGGAAGGGTATTCATTTGTTTTTGGCCAAAGAAATAAACCTGGAGAAAGTTACATCGTGTCGAGAAGGAGCCTGAAATACAGACGCCAGGCATGAGACTCCGGAACTAACACACCTACAAGGGAGAGACCAAACTTTTGCAGAGGAAAATTTTCCTCTAAGCCGAGGAACAAGACAAGCATGTCTGCTTTACCCCAGTGTTGGAAATTCTACCCAGAGAACTCAGACGCGCACACACACACACACACACACACACACACAAGGAAAAATTCTTCAAATTGAAAAAGAAATATTATTTCTGTTCACAGATGATAATTCTGTCTAATGTAAAAAGATTAGAGTCACCAAATAAGCCCAATAAAGTTTCTGTATATAAAATGAACACAGAAGAATCAGTTACATTTCTGTACCAGAGCTCCAGTTTTATAACGTGAAATACTGTAAACGTAGCTGATGCCACTCAAGAGCATTTTAAAGTGGCTAATTTTATGTGATGTGTAATTAAAACGTAATACAATTAACATCAGTCTTACAATTGTGTCAGCTCCTTCAGATCCTTAAATACATGAGGTGGGAGACTGTCGAGCTTGTTACTTCCTAAATCCCTAGTGAAAAAAAATTGCAAATTATTATTTCTTCTTATTTCAACTTGTTATTATTTATTTATTGCTCTGAACTTCATTAGAAAATCCATTATACAATGTTTTAACCATAGTATCAGTTATATTAATTACCTGACATTATAAATATTTCAAAAGCAGAGAAAAATGCAAAAAAAATGTTCCTACTTCATCAGTCTTTTGAACTCTTCACTTACTTCTCTCTTCCATTTTTATAGGAAGGTTTATTATCAATAGCACTGTGTCATTTGCTTATGGAACAATACGAGCCTTTTTTTTTGAATCAGCAAAGTACTGTCTTTTGATCTTACAGTCCCTAAATCTTAACCTTTTGATTTTATGGTCCTTATTTCTTAACTATGTTGGAAACTTGAAACGATAACTTTGCTGTCCCTAGGTAGTAGTAGATCAGACATATTTTACTTACTGCACACATGGCTTTATTATTCCTCTATAGTGGTATTTCTTTCCCTCTATTTTCTTTAAAAATTTATTCTTTTACTTTATGATATTTAGATAATTGAATGTCTTTGTGGCTCAACACATAAGGTTATACAGATAATGCATGCAAAGAAAATTAATATTTCTTAATTACATAAATAAATAGATACATTGAACATACAAAATAAAACTGTAGAGATAGAATTAATAGTATACATTTAGTTCAACTTACAATTCATCTAGTTTCTGAAGCGGTGCAAAGGTATTTTCACTTATGTGATTTATTTTGTTTTTTCTCATTACCCTGAAAAAAAAAAAAAAACAAAAACATATTGTAACTTCTTGGTGTACCATGACACAAATTACCAAGCAGATAAATAGTAGAACAAAAATAATGAAGCCATACTGCATTTTCCACATCAAGATATTCTGAAGTAGTACAACAAATTATCCTGTTTGATTTTAACTTTAGATGTCCTGAACCTTTTAGTTATGATTTAAACGCAGTATTCTTTTCTTCCTGACACACCAAGCCATGATCATCTTCTCATATCCCTAGACTAAAAACCATCAACACCACCAGGAGGAAACCCGCAAGTGATTTCTTAAAAGTTTCCTTAAAAATAAATAGAGAGAGAGCAGAAAAGACAAGGTGTTGTAGCATATCTATTTGGCCTGTGTCTTTCATGCGTAATATGATTTCCTCGGGAGTGTTTGTAAGAATCATTTTGCAGGAATGATTTAAAGCATCCTGCACTTGAACAACGCTGAACCCCTCGGCAGAAGAGTCCAGATCCCTCATTGTCTGGAACCCATCAGGACGAGGGACCCCGTTCGAGAAAACACCGTTACTTTTACTGTCTCAGTGGCAGTTCGTGTGGTGCTTCCACGCAGCCTCCTATGTCTACAGGACAATAGTTTTCAAAAGTTTTGCCCATGCCAAACCACAGTAAAAAGTGTCTTAAGTACACACAGAGCCTAAGACGCATGCGGCAGTGTGTGTGTTATCCATCGCACTCTGGCATCGTTGATTCAACTCAGGACATTCCAAATGGACCGTACTTTATTGCTTTCATCACCCACTTGTGGGTTGCAATTCATAACTTTTGGAAACAACGAACAACCTGTGCAGTACCAAGCTTATTCTTATAGACTCTGAAGGTCAACTGAGACTCCTGAACCGATCCCGGGGTGCTCTGAGGAGCCCTTTCCACTCAGACAGGCCTCTCTGTTACATAAGCTTGAGAAAACTGTCTCAGCTAGTACAGCGTCATGGAATGGCTCCCGGATGTTGGAATCTGTGACTTCTCTTGGCTTGAATCGCACATCCTTCATTTTAAACCGACTGCAGGTTGGGAGTGAATATCTGCTATAATTACTACGTGGGGTTGTTGGCTTGCAGCAGCACACATGATTTGTTTGAAATGTATAAAATATTACTTACAAAACAGTTAAATTATTGCAGGAAATAAAAGTCAAGTTTTTTAAGTTACGGATATGGTTGCCTTCGAAGTCCCTGGAACATAAAAATAAAACACGATGAAGCTAGATTTTAATCTTAGACACGTAAGTTGCTTAAGAATTATTTATCTTACCCCAGATGCAGAAAAACAATAATAGTAGTAATGTGCAAACAGTGGTCTTACCCACTTTCCTGCAGCCCTTGACCCTTTGTGCCCTAATCAATCATGCAAAGATCATCAAAATAAAATAATTAAAAGAATCATTTGTCTTCTAGTAAAACATTTTTCTTCATCTCCTATTTATCTCACATTCTCTCAGTTATTTCTGTAACATTATATATTGCTACTTTCTTTCTGTATTAGTGCTGCGAATGTTTTGAGATGCATCTGAATCATGTGTTTATATGGGCATGCATACTACTTATGAGATTTTCAAGAAATGGGATGGAAAACCTTTGTCCTGATGGATTCTCACGGTATGAGTGGACGTTTGCCAGTGACTGTATCAAACCTTTGTCCACAGTTACTGCTGGCGTTTCCCTAACCGGCGTGATCCTATTTGGCAACAGGTTGCTCAAGATTCTACTATTGCAGCAGGAGCTGCTGCTACCAAAACACTGTCTAGCTCCTATTCTTAGTCTACACAATATTGACATAGCCAGTTAATTAGCCTGTTGCTTTTCAATTTCTTAGCCTTTAATAGTATTTGATACATGCTTCTCTTTTTAAACCTCTAGCCACAAGTTTCCTTACCTTTTCGCTCTTTCTGGCCTCTGTCTCGCCATGGAGATCAGAGGTAGTGGAGGGAACAGCGCCTCCTGCCTGCCTAGCGTCTCATCTGTGTCTGCATCTCCTAGCGCTGGAGGAAGAGCCCTCACAGTGTGACGGGCTGTGGGCGCGCTCACAACTGCCCCTCAGCAGACAGCAATGTTGTCCTGACGATTTGTAAGCACTAGATAATTGGGATGCTTACAAAGGGTATTTATTTCAAAGGCAGAGTTACGGAGGGAGGAGAGGCAGAGGCAGAAGGATAAAGAAGGAACATTCCATCTGCTGCTTCACTCCTCAAATGGCTGCAGCAGCCAGGTCAGCCAGCGCCAGGCTGAAACCAGGAATCCGGAGATTGTTCCAGAGCTCCTGTCGGTGCGAGGGCCCAAGCACTGGGGCATCTTCTGCTGCCTTCCCAGGCGTGTCCGCTGGGAGCTGCGAGGGAAGTGGAGCGGCCAGGACTTGAACTGGTGCTCACATGAGGTGCTAGCATTGCAGGTAGAGGCTCAGGAACTGTAATGTTTTAAATGTTTACATTAATTTTTCTTCTTCTTCTTTTTTTTTTTTTTTTTGCTAATTTACATCATGTTCATGAGATTGAACCATGCTGGTTGAAATAGGTCAAGTCCATTCATTTTTTAAAAAAGATTTATTTTATTCTTTATTGGAGACTCAGATGTACAGAGAGGAGGAGACAGAGGAGAGACAGAGGAAGATCTCCCTTCCTATGATTCACTCCCCAGGTGATCTCAATGGCCAGAGCTGTGCTGATCCAAAGCCTGGAGCCTGGAGCCTCCTCCAGGTCTCCCACATGGGTGCAGGGTCCCAAGGCTTCGGGCCATCCCTGACTGCTCTCCCAGGCCACAAACAGAGAGCCGGATGGGAAGCAGGGCTGCCAGGATTAGAACTGGTGCCTATAAGGGATCCCAGTGTGTGCGAGGGGAGAACTTTGGCTGCTAGGCTACCGCACTGGGCCCAAATTCACTCATTTAGAAATGAAAATAAAACGACAGTCTTCCTGTGCCAAATGAACAGGTGGCAGAAAGAGGAGATGTTACATATACAACATGATGCTCTCTCTGCCTTCTTTCTTTCTCCAAAGTAGTTTTTTTTTTGACATGTTTTATTTTGATGGATTTTTACAAACGTTAAATAATTTAATACAGAACTATGCTAATTCGTTTAAATTTGATATGATATTAACAACCAACCCCCTGACATCCGGAGGGAATCTGGCCGGACCGGAGAGTGTGGCTGGCATCCTGACAAGAGGCGAGGTGACTTACAGCCAGTGCAGTCTCGGCATGTGCTGGCAGAGCGCTTTGTCGGGCAGGTGGCTGAGGACGTTGCTCATGAGCGCCCTGCAAAAGATCAGAAAGCAGGCAGCGCGCGTGGTCTGCGGGCTCATCCTCAGCCGGACACAGACTCATCACGACTCTCTACTGAGCTGCTTATTTCCTCCCAGTTTTTCGCTGCTAAGTCTTGTTCTGTTTAAGTGCTTTACAGTGATACAAATTTGACAAATGATAAGGAAGCAGAGATGTTAGCAACTGAGGAAAAGTGCAGGCCGGAGGAGGGGTGGCGGCAAAGGGACGCGGTTTCCAGCGAGTCTTCCTTCGTCTTGGCCAGTCACGCTGGGCTTACGAACATTTCCACAAAACATGAGCGAGACTACGTTCGGGTTTGGTAGTTTGACATTCCAGAGGACAGAAAAAAATCATATAAAGTCATTAGAACTACACATGATCTTAGGGAACAGAACTAAGAAATGGTTTCTAGTTGAAAACCCTTTTCTTTGTTTTCTTTAACAAATATATGTATTTTTATTTTCCATGAACGGTTTGTGGGAATAGAGGTTCCACCTTTTCTGCCCCTTTCTCCCTATTTCTCCCTCTCACCATGCCCCCCATTCTGACAGTGTTACATTCCTTTAGCAACAGTTAAACATTCTGTTATTTAAGTGTATCATGGAACTGCAGGTGGACAAAGGCAGAACAGCTAACAGATTGTCAAGGTATAATTCGACTGGGATGCAGTCCTCCTGCTGGGGCTGGACGTGCCTGTGACGCTGCTGTTCATACGTGAGAGTAGATGAACATTCCTGTTCACCTAGACACCTATTTGTTCTGTATTGTGCATGAAGATTGCCTTATATCAGAGAGAACATATGCTATTTATCGCTTTGGAATTAAGCCTTATTCTTGTCTTTTTCTTCAACCGAAATGTTTACTTAACACTTACAAGAGAATAAGAGAATTCAGTCCATAAAATGTTAGCGGGGAAATTCGGCCCAGGTGGTTATCTTCAATTATCCTGCCAGCCAGAAGAAAAAAAAATGTGTTCACGTACATATTTGTAGCACCTCAGAATAATTATCATTAAAATGTCACATGACTCGAACCTACAGCCATTCCAGTCTGTGCAGGTCTCTAAAAACACCCGGTCTCAGGAGGGTTATCTTGTTATGGCTGAGGTAGCTGCAAAAGGAGAGGTAAGGATTTCCATCACTTAGTGCATGTCTTAGCTTCTTAACTAAGGGAGGCGCGATGGGGACCAAAGACACGGCATTTGCAAGGCAAGAAAGGAGAGCAGTTATCGTAGGCAGAGGAACTCGTTGACGAACAACAAGAAACGCAAGAGAGAGGAAGAAGGAGAGGGCGAGTCTCATCACGGAGACTCAGGAGAGACGGGAGACGAACTGGGCAGGCGTGGGGTCTTGCCCTGGACACAAGGACATGGCAAACCTTGCTGGAGTCTAACCCTGCCTTCTCTGTTCAGCTTCATTTCCCACCCTCCAGGCAGTATGTGGCTCGGCTCGTGGTCCCTAGTACTTGTAACAACGTGCTTAGTCTTCCAGCGCCTTCCTCTGCTCCCTCTCTGCCCACAATGCACTTCCAAGTTGTAATTCAAGTTTCATTCTGATATGGGGAGCCCACATGGATTTCTCTCTTCGCTCTTCCACAGCTTGGAGTCCACATTCTGCAAAACCTTTTCCGCCAGAGACGTTCCCTCCCCAACCAGGTCAGCAGGGGTGGGGAGGGATGACTCCTCCCACTAGAGCCTCTGCCTTCCCTCCTTTGCAACCCCGGAACTCCACTGCCCAGAGGATGGGATAATAAACAGCTTCAGCATCTCTCATCAACACCCCAGGAGGCCTCTTCCAAGCCCACAAAATCCTGCTTTAGCCCTCACACAGAAAGCATCTACTCTGGCCTGGACCCTGAGCTCAGCTGTGTAGCCTGCTCCTCTTCTTGTTTCAGATCCATCCTTTGTTGCCCCGGGACCATAGCGGCCACTCCTTTTAGTGAACCCTAATAGAAGTTTTGGTCTGAGGAATATGGGCGTGGAATTGGGAACTTTCCCCCCGTTGTCTCCCCATCTTAGATCAGGAGCTTCTCAGGACCAGCCAAGTGCTGTGTTTACTCTGCCCTCATGGTGTCTCACTAAGAACCCGCATGCTGCTAAGGCTAAGGGCACCCACGAACGGATGCAGAGCAGTTATTCAGTCATCATTTATGCGAGGTCAGATGGCGGAGCAACTTTGTTACTCAGGCAATACTCCAGTGCTGAGTGAGAGAGAGAGAGAGAGAGAGAGAAATCCTGAGTAAAGACTGTTGTATGCAAGGATTTAAGCCACTGCTTAGCATGCCAGGTTCCTGTATTGGAGTGCTGGTTTAAATCTTGACTGCTTCACCTCCAATTCGACTTCCGCTAATGTGCCTGGGGAGGCAAAAATGGCGGGGAGCGGATACCCATGTCGGGGACTCGGACGGTGTTCCCTGTCCCACTTCATGTCTTTCCCTGTCTCTCGAATGAACACTTACCTTTGCAAAAACGTTTAAAACGGTAATTTCATTTTATATAGATTTTACCACAATAAAAGTTATTGTTTTAACCCCACAGTGCTTTACATATTTATAAAAGCAGGATAAGTGTAAAATGAATAACTAAATTACCCAGGAAGTGTTTGAATATTTCTTGATATTGCTTAAATCAACCTGCGTGGGGGGCTACAATGATTTATAGTTTCTACTAGGGGGAGCTAAATGTCTCATAAAGACAACAATTGCTCCGGCTCACATACTTAGCAAGAGATGAAATGAGGACTTAGACGGAAACCTATCTGACTGTACTTAGCTCCTCAGCATCATTTGCAAGTATCCCAGTGGCTGCTGAGAGCAGGAGGGCCGGTGTGGACTGGAATGGGTCAGGCTAGCACAACTCCCCAGAAGGAACAAATTGGCATGGGTACTTACAGCTTAGTAAGGCTGTACAGCCCTCGGAAAGCATTGGTCGAGATGAATCTAATCTTATTGTTTTGTAGGCATCTGCGAAAATTAGAATTACACATGAAAATATGACGAAACAGAGCTTCCGTTTTGCAAGAACAGGTTTGGTGGATGGACGGTAGTAATTACAACACAATATGTATGTGCGTAGTGTTTCTGAGGGTACAAAGATGGTCAATTTCACACTGTGTATATTTTTCTTACAGCTTCTGAAGATTGTGGTACTTCTTGAAGCCATTAGGCGGAAGTTTTCTTATTAAATTCCTCTGGAGTGACCTGAAATAAACATAGGTTTTGGTTTTTACATGAATTTTTTTTGACATGTAAATTACAATAATGTAAACAACTATAGAACAGAATTATTTTACTGTTACCTTTCAGGAAATATTTTAGAAATTTTGTGTATTTATTTTCCGCTTAATTAATTGGTAACAATACTTACAAATGACAAGTAGAAAATAATAATAATGAAGAACAAAAACCATGCCAAAATTTTACTAAATTATGTCAGTCATAGTATCACTTGAATTAGGTTTAACTCTTGCTTTTATATTATTAAAATATTCATCTTTTATTAAGCTTAGGTTACAAAACAATCATGACTAAATACTTATAAATTAAAACGGGAAAAAATTGGTTTTTCAGTTACTTTTCCCTTTCTCTATTTTTGTTTAATAAACATTAGAAGGATCTCCATTTTTGCATAACATTGAAACAATGTTTTCTCTTTAAAGGATATCAAACCACTTTAAAATCATTTCATGGTTTTCAATATAATATGGCTTAAGATGAACCGTGAAGGAAGTTACTAATGAGCACATATCTTTTACTATTTTATACTATAAATGACTCCATTTCAATTCCCAATAAATCGAATAGAAGGAGCTTCCCTTGAATTACAATTTCATAAGCAGACTGACAGAAACCAGAAGCATGACACTTTACTTAGATTGGAAAGGCCTCAAATCTTGAACCTTTTTAGTGGAAACAAAATAAAGGAAAGAAGCAAAGGACTCCAGCCGACATAGCCGGGGTCTGTGGCGTGGACCACCTGGAACCAAGCCAGTCCCTTAACTGGGAAGGGATTTGAACCAGGTGATTTCTGCTGTTAGATTCCTTTATAGAGCGTGGTGGAGCCACAGACTGCATTGTCTGGACGCTGACTTAACCCAGTGGCATAGAACTGACAGAGGAGTGATGGATTGCATGGTCTGGAAATTAATTCAGTGTCTTATAATAGGCAATAATAATGCTTAAGTGTCAGATCAGTGTCGCTTCAATTTCTAAAAGGAATATAGTTTTTTGGACTTCTCAGAATACATTATCGGAATTGAATGAGAAAAATAATTCAGAAGATCATTATCTCTTCAAGGGGTGTGAAAAAAATATTTTAAAAATGTGTCAAAAGCAGTTAGTGTGGGGGCTCAGCAGGCTAACCCTTCACCTTGCAGCACCAGCACCCCACTCGGCTCTGGTTCTTGTCCTGGTTGCTCCACTTGTGATCCAGCTCCCTGCTTGTGGCCTGACAGAGTGGCAGAGGACGGCTCAGGTCAGTATGTCCCTCCAGCCCAGTCCTGCTGTTGTGGCCACTTTCTTTCTTGTATTATTTGCTCAACAAAAATAACATTCTACCCCACAATTCTGTGCTGATGTAGATGACAAATTATTCTGTCTGTCCTGTTAAATGCTCGTATTGAGAAAAGATAAAGTATTAAGCATTTGGGTTTGGTCTAAGGTAATTTATAAGAATGTAGTATGTCCTTAAAAATCTGTTGATTGATTAATACAAACATGTATTGAATGACTATTACTTTACGTAGGAAGAAAAGTGAAAGTTCCCCCTCTAAAAAGCTTACATGAGTCTTCTGCAGGGAAAATGCTCTACATAGATTTCAAATTTGAAGTTTACCTTCTTTGATATGTCACTTATACCTGATTTTTCTGATTGTGAGATTTTGCTATGATAGTTTCAATCAAAATCTGGAAGAACTTGATACTGGAATTCAGTATTTAGGGGCTGGCATTCTTTTTTTCTTAGTAACACATGCAATTGATGGCAATTTTGGCTTAGAAAAAATATGGTGATACTAAATATCTCTTAGGATTTCAATGAGGGATTAATTAACATGTGGCATAATGTAAAGTAGTCTGACATGTAATAAATGCAAAATAACTGTAAGTAGGAATTATAACTGACCTAAAAATGATGATATTATCTTTGAAGATCAGTTTTATTCTTAGTGATGATACGGCCTTAGCTGTGATACAATTTTACAAGGTATTGTTCTGGCTAGAAGGATGAAGCCATTGTCTTTTACTTACATCACCGTCACATTTGAAGAAACCGATGGGATGGCCCGTAAATCGGTATCGTCACAGTTAAGCACCAGGCTTTGGCAAGCACACAGCCAGGGCACAGGACCAAGCACTGCGGACAAAGGGAGCAGAGAGGGACGATGAGGTCGTGAAGAGATGAGGACCAGGAAGAGCAGGACAACAAGCAAACGGAAACGAAAAGCGCCGAGAAAATGACTTGGTATAAATGTGTGTCTTCTCTAAGCAATTGGGAAAAGCTTTAAATGGAGGCTCTGAAATTCGCTTTCAGTTGAAATGTAAAATGATGCTAGAATATTAACATTTGGAAACATACACAATCACCAGCCCATGCATTTTTAAAAATAACAGATTATCCTCATCAATCTGTGTTGAAAGGAATGAAATCATCAGGAAAGGGAGATGTGATAGTGTGATGGGATTTAATATTCCTATTAAATCTTCTATTTAGGAAGCAAGTGCTTATTAATAGTGTTAAAACGGTTAATGGAGGACTAAGTCACTTTTTGCACACAGTCTGTTTTCATTGATTTGCGGTATTTGCATTTGCCTATCTTGTGGAGCTGTAGTGAAAGTCTTAATGATTTGATTACATGTATCTGAAGTTTATTGAAGACCGACAATTACGTTCCGATAGCTAAGCAGTACAATGGGATTACCGTCGGTAACAGTCTGATTCCTACTTTGACGGAGTGTGGGCAATTATCAAGAGCCATGTGGAACGCCCCCATTGAACATTTTATTTTGGAACACTAACTTCTGTAGCAAGGGTTCTAGACTGCAATGTTTGCAGGAGAAGTAGCTGTAGGCTGTGTTCAGATGTCCCAGTGGAATGGCTTACCCTGCCACTCGTGTGGGAGACCCAAACTAAGCTCTAGATCCCTGGTTTTAGCCTAGCACAACTACAGGTGTCGTAGGCATCTGCCAACTGGACCAGTGGGTGGGAGATCTCTAACTGTGTCTCTTCCTCCCTCTGTCTTTCAAACAAAGAAATAAAAACAATTGATATATTTACTCTTTACTAAATTTGGGTGAAAAAAATGACTGCATTGTTTTTGGATACATCCTGTGTTCTGTTCTTTCTATGTGATTACACCTGTGATAACCTTTCTTCCAGAGTGCCAGACCAGATAAGACATTCCCCGAGCTGATACACCCTTGGGTGTGATCGCTGAAGTTCTGTCTGAGGATTCTCTCATCTAAGTGTCCTCTGCCATTTCTGTTCACCACCTCTGTCTTCTAGAGTGTATTAGGGCTTTAACTCTGTCAGGAGCCCTCCTGTTTGAATTGTAAGTTGTCTAAGATTCTTTTGGGGAGTGAAGAGAGGCATGAAAAGTTTCAAAGAAAATTTAAGAAGAAAAGCACTATCCAATTAAAGAAAAATGGAAACCGCGTTCTGAGATAACATGGCTCCATTAATTGCTTTTTGGCCACACTATATCAGCACTTCAGTTACATTCTCTGACAAGCTTTAGGTTTTTGCTGATTGTGTTGTTTGTTCTACATCATTTGGGAGGTACATATGACCCAGGGATGGCTGAACAAACTACATGACTCAGCAGAAAGACACGTTCCCCTAACAAGGGGAATTGAGCAAAGCTTTAAAAACTAATCCTATTTGAGTAGTGAAAATAACAATATTAAAAATTTCAAGTCCAAGCTTTATAATTTATGGTAGTATGTCGAAGAAGAAACGCAAAATCTCCATTCTTCCAACCTGTGTTTCAGCCAAGGTTTTGAAAAGCTAGGGTTAGAATTCTATCTCACAGTGTAGACTTACGATATATAATTTACTAAAAGGATATCATTTATTTCAGAGGGTTTTACATAACGTCTTGATCTAACGTACTATGGGCTTAATCCTCATGTTTATATCCTTCTTACTCCTTCTACTTTCCTCTTCTGTTTTTTTTTGTGACTTCAATGCAGCAGTCGATCACAGATCAGGCTTTCGTAGCTCTAAGTATAGGTCAAGCCCCAGACTACTTTCCCCTTTACAAACATTGAAATCCAAACAGATTCTCGGCTCTTCGGTTTTATCAACACTGGTCGTCTGATTGATATTCATTTTATTCCCAAATACCTGACCTGCCTTATTTCTCTTGCTCTTATGAATCCATGAGTTATGACTTGAATAAAAACCCTGAAAATAAAACTTCATCTTCAACAGCGTTTTCAAGTCTAAAACAATTAACCCTTTTTTCTTCTTAATGTTGAGTCCAACTTTTCAAAGCAAGAGCTCATTGAAAAGGAGACGCAAAGGATCGAATGACTTACTGCATTCGAAATCTTCTGCTTCGAAGCGAAATCTGGAAGTCATTTTGTTCTGATGGATAAAATATTTATCAAATTGCATAGACCACCCATTGTTGTCTCCTAAAATAAAATCAGAAAGCAGAGAGGTTCAAGACAATGGAAAGAGAGAGAGAAAGAGAAAGGCAAATAGAAAGAGAGAGAGAGAGACAGAGACAGAGAGGCTGGGCCAAGCTGAATTCAGGAGCTTGGAATTTTTTCTCCATCTCTCACGTGAATGCCAGCACCTGCTGCTTTCCAGGAGGTCATGATCAGGACTTCGGATGGGACGTGAAGGAGCCAGGACTGAAACCAGGTGCTGACACGGCTGCAGGCATTTCAACTGAGATTCTACTGACCTACTGCCCACCCCGTCCCTTTTCTTTTAAAGGCACCATGATATTCCAAGTGATTATTCTGTGTGCTCAACATATCCTCTCATCTATGCTTTCTGTACATTAGTGTTAACTCAGGCACAGGTTTTATAACATTTTCTAAACCATTTTTGTCTCATGCAGGATATTCTTTGGGTTGCATTAGACTAATCCAGATTTCCTCTTTTCTTGTTGACTCCGAAGAGTAAGTATAGAAATGGATTCATAATTATCACTCTAGTTTAATTTTTGCTTTAAGAAATAGATTTTTGAGAACAGCATTGTTTTCTCTTTCCAGATGGGATTTCAAAGAACAAACTCGCCAGGATAGACCTTTTAGATTGGGCACAGCTGCATCCGACCTAGTAGAAGACTTTGGCATCCGTGTTGCCAATATCAAATGGGACTCTCCTAGTTTACGGCACACCATGTCGTCCCTTCTGGCTTGCTGCAGTTGCTACTAGAAGGCTGGGCCCTGGCATAGTGCTATTCCAGATAAAGACAAGAATGGAAACAAGAAGCACTAGGGGTTGTGTGCAGGATGACTGAGGAGAAATTAAAGGAGGAAGACCACAAGTTCAGGGTTTCCCATTTAGCTCCAAAAAGTTCAGAGGGTCAGGGAGTTTTCATGCCTATCCTCAGGTAATCTTTGATCTCGAGTGGCCTTAGGTCTGGATTGGTGCAACTCCAATACATTCTTACAGAATCTGATCAGTGGGTTAAGTTACAATACGAGATGAATTTGCATTCTGACATCTAAGTGAACATTTGAATACTGATTTGGAGAGATGGTGGTATGGCATGGCAGACTAACTTTCTGCCTGTGGTGCCAGCATCCCAGAGAGGTGCTAGTTTATGTCCTGGCTATTCCACTTCCATCCTAGCTTCCTAATTCTGGCCGGGAACGGCAGGGAAGGACAACCTTAGCCCTTGGGACCCTGCACGTGTGTGGGAGACCCAGAAGAGGCTCCTGCTGGCTTTGTACTGGGCCAGCTCTGGCTGATACAGACATACGGGGAGAAAACCGGTGGGTGGAACGTCTTTGTCTCTGTCTTTTCTTGCTGTAACTCTGCCTTTCAAATAAAAAAAAAAGTACATATCTTTAAAAAAGAATAATGATTTGGAAAGAAAGGAACTCTGAGTCGTACCTAGACATGTGTGTCTGATGAAATTAGTTTTAGTTTGTGCGAAAGTGTATTTATTTGGAGCAAATAAGTTGTCCTCTATCCTTAGGCCTTCCCATCACCATGCATTGTTTCCCAATGAATCACAAGAGCCAGACCCCAGTTGTAAGTTAGGGCTTAGAAGATTGGTGTGCCAGATTTTGCTGTTTAATACAGGCAGAGATCCTGGGGCTTTGTGAAGGAGTGGTTTCCAGGAGTGCTAGCAGGCATGCAGGCAGGAATTTAACTCTAGATTGGGAAAAGCTACTGACTACGGTTATCTATCCTACAGCTTCTGGATTGAATGTATTAGCTCAAGCAGTAAGCTGCTAGATTGCTCACCAAAATGCACATTCATAATTGACCTAGGCTACATGAACTTGACACGCAAATGCAAATGGCATAGCGTCATCAAAGTGGTAACTTACGTGGGATCTGGTCAGTGCACTGCACACCTGCAATCGTGTTTCAGTTTTAGCTTCCCCGCTCCCCCCGTTGTTGAGAGCCGTTCCTGCAACACGCCTCCTTCCCGGGACCACGGCGCGTCACTCACCGCAGTTGTGCTCGTCCGCCTCGTTGCCGCAGTCGTCAATCCCGTTACAGTGCAGGAGCTGAGGCAAACACTTGGACATGTTCCCACAGGGGAAGAAACCAAGAGGGCACACGACTTCCTGTCCACTCCCACGAGCGACTGTGACGAAAAGAGGAGAGGAGCCAAGGCTTGAAGCAGGTTAATGCAAAGGCAGGGCGAAAACTCAGAACCGCACCCCGAGATTTCATCAACATTTGGCTTTAGGACAGCTTCTCCCACAGCCTTCCACGCGGAGGCCTCACCTTACTACCTATTTTGATGGCATCACATTTCACGTGTTCACAGGATGGTAGGATCTGCTTTTGTTCATACAGGTGTCTCCCACCTGGAATGCACTTTCCGTCCTGCAGTATCCCCAGTCCCCCCCTTTAAAAAAAATTATTTGAAAGTCAGTCACAGACATACAGGAAAGCCAGAGGAAGAGAGCTTCTACCTTCTGGTTCGCTTACCAAATGGCAGCCAACATCGGGACTGGGGCAGGTCAAAATTAAGAGCTGCGTCTGAGTCTCCCATGTGCGAGACAGGGACCTATACTATTTGGACCACTTTCTGCTGACTTCCCCAGCTCATTAGCAGGAGCTGGATGTGAAGTGGAGCAGCTGGAACAGGAATCCAGGTGGGATGCTGGTGGCCCAGGAGGCAGCTTTACCCGGTATGCCTCAATGCAAGGACCTCCTTTTTTGTTTTATATTAAAATGAATTGTTGGTTTATGCTTTGCAGTTCAGCTTACTTCTCCTCTTTTACAATAACTTGCCAGTCAGCCACTGTAAAACTCATGGATTTATTGTGTTCTTGTTATGAGTTCAACGTCAAGGCTGATCTCTCATTAAAGGAAGAAGACAGGGAGTAATAGCAAACGGTGTGTTGGATGTTCATCCACATCTAGTGCAGTGCCTTGATGGGAAACCTTGTGCAAGATTCAGTGCATGTAGCCTGAAGGACAGAGTTCTTGCTCAGGTGGAGGTTGCTGGCTAGTGGGAAAGACATACTATAGAAATTAACCAGTAATTATAAATTATGAGATTTGGATTGGCATTGTGGCGTAGCAAGCTCAGCCTTCAACTGTGGTGCTAGCATCCCATATGGTCACCAGTTTGACTCCCAGCTGCTGTACTTCCTATCCAGCTCCCCGTTTGTGGCCTGGAAAAGCAACAGAGGATGGCCCAAAGCTTTGGGACCCTGCATTTATGTGGGACACTGGGAGGAACTTCCTAGCTCCTGACTTCAGATCAGCTCAGCTCTCACTCCTGTTGCCATTTGGGCAGTGAACTGGTAGGTGGGTGGTCTTTGTTGTAACTGTACCTTTCAAATAAAAATAAATACAAACATTATGAGATCCAAGAAGAAAGAAAATGGGTGTCATAATGGGAAATAACTACCCCGGGGTTTTATACAAGGGGTGGTTAGTGGGAGTCTCCTTCACAAGCTTCTGTTTAAGCTGACATTCGCAGTCAGAGAAGGACTCATCCACAGGGCTTGGGAAGTGGGAGTGAGGACGGGACAGTGAGAGTAGAAATGACCTGGAGCTTTGGGCTTGGGGCAGGAGTACAGTGGGCAGTGCTGGGCAGCTCACACAAGGTTCAAGGAGTACAGAAGTCTCTTTCAGCAAAGACGAGGACTTTGAATTTTAAAATGCGAAGGAAACCACAGAAAGATGTGAGACCAGCTGACCACTGGGATCGCAGATGGCTTCAGTAATGCTATTTTGTTCCGGGGAGGGGAGTCAGAGGGAGCCGACCACAGAGGCTCTCAGAAACCTTTGCTGTAACGGGGTGGGAGACCATGAGCTTAGTCTAGGCTGGTGCCTGTGTGGGTGTGGGTGTGGTGTGGTGTGGTGTGGATTGAGAGAGAGAGAGAGAGAGAGAGATGAACCCAATCTCCAAATGTCTGTAATAGCTGAGATGGGCTGGTCTGAAAGCCAGGAGGAAAAAATGAAATCTGGTTCTGGTGTGGGTGGGCAGGGACCTGGTCACTGGAGCCCGTTATCTGCTACTTTCCAGGGTAATGCATTAGCGGGAAGTTGGAATTAGAAGCAGAGCTGTGAATCCAACCCAGGCATTCTGCTGTGGGGTGGAGCATCTTAACTGCCGGGCTAAATGGCATGCTGACATTTTTGATATGTTATTTAGAGCTGGAATAAACATAATTTATGGAACTGGCTTGAACAGCTGGGAAGAGGGCAGTGCTATCATAATCCAGGTGGGAGGCCGCACGAATAAATGTGACTCATTCTTCATTTTCACTCTGCCCAAGAGCTTCACCACATTAGCCCTAACTCAGGTCAACAAGAGCCCCACTCAGCATCATGCAACCTTCCCAACACCCCATCATCATTCCAGAGGCTCCATTTGGGCTTCTTATCCCTTCTGCCATTCCTGGAACTCTCCATCACCACAAACCCCCTCAGCATTAGCCCTTCCCCTGGAAGTTTAGGTTCCCAGCCTGATGGAGTTTCTGCTTCAGATGCAGTCCCCTGCTGCGTCAAGCCCAGCCCCTACCAGACTAGATAGCCTTTCGTTTGTGTCTTGAGAGCAAACTGGATGGAATTTGCAGGCATGTGTCCAGGAAGGGTGCTTTCAGAGTGTTGAAAGCCAACTTAAAAGTTAAAGTTTTGGGCTATCATCTGACTTGATTCAATTGTACCTCCATGAATAAACAAGTAAAAATAAATCAGTCTTATTTAAGAAAAACCCACAAGAAGCATGAGAAACAGCTCCACCTTTCCACTCAAAGATGGTTTCAGACTCAGGAAGCGCAACAAGACTGTATTAAAAGCCTTGCGAGATCTCATCCCAGTGGGCCAGCTTGCCCGGAGTGTTTTACAACAAGCTACTCCTAGCGCATGGGACTGTTCCCTGGGTCCTCACTGGATGTGCTTTTGCTTCCTGTAGACCCTGTGTTCACTGTCCTGCAAGGAGGAACACAGCTTCTCTTCTCTTTGGGGAAGCAGTCCTGAGTGAGTCAGGTAGTTTGTCAGCAGTTTTAAACCCAGTTTTATATGAAGGTCAGGTTTCTCTGACCAGATGGTAATTCATTTCATTTATTGAGGACATATGATGCGTTAATATTAGTGACACACTTTGAGTGATTCGCTAACTTTCATTAATACCACCATCAGTGGCATATTGTTTCTGACACAGCATGAATATTACTGTGAACTCACAGACAGAAGCACTTAGATAAAATTACAGAGGGATTTGTAAGAATATTTATTAGCTATGTAAAAACAGCTATGTATATTTTTTGCTAGGAATAAATTCTTGCCTTCCTAGTTTGCGTGAGCCAATCCTGCACCACATATTAAAGTACATTAAGTTAGCATTTCTTTCTGCTGTGAATCCACAAAACGCAAGATCACCATTCGAAGCCACTTCTAACTGTGCGGATGCAGTTGGAACACAGGATTGTTTTTTCAGACACTGATACCATGACGCAGGTGGCAAATATTCCACCTGCGAGTGCTGTTGTGCTATATGGTGCTGGTTCGTATCTTGGCTGCTCTACTTCCCGTCCAGCTCCATGATTACAGCCTGGGAAACAGTAGAGGATGACCCAAAGCCTTAGGGCCCTGCGTGTTCAGCTGTTGGGGCTTTCTCATAGACACGAGAGTCTCAAGGTAGTCCAAGGGCCAAAGCCAGGCAGTAAGTACAATGAAGCATTCTTGTAGCGTGATTTTGTTCTGTGTCCATACAATAAGGTGACTTTGCTATGGCCAGCCACTGTGTATCAAGGGATACATGATTTGGCATGGATTACATTCATGTCTTGAATCCATCTCTCAAAGGACAAAATCCTTAGGGGTTTCAATAAGCATTTCTTGGGAGCTGTATTTCCAGTGCTTTGTCATTAATGAGATCCATTAAGCTTTTTACTGCCTTGCAGACTTTGGCAGAAACTCATAAGCATTTACAATGGTATCTAGGGAACTCACAGTAACTCAGGGAGACTGCTATGCTCATTTGATAATATTAAATGGGAATATGAAAAGTTTTAACGTGGTTGGTCTAAAATCAACGAAATTACTGCATGAGGGCAGTTTCGTTCACTTAACATTCAAATAAAATAGGTGAATATATTTGGAAAGTTAATTGAAAAAACCTGTAGCATGCCCAAACAGCATTGATTTTGCAAGCAGCAAAATAAGCATTTCATTGGACTGTGCAACTCATTTTCAGCCTGTGAAATCTTTGTCACAATATGTGGGAAATAAGACAATTTCATAGACATTTGCTCAAGTCTAATCAGGAGACTGGTGATTCATGAACGCACTTCTGGGACAGACAGTTCATTGCTGCTGTGCCTGTTTATATTCCAGTGGATATTTTATAACTGATCACAAAGGATTTTAGAAGTAGATGGGCATTGTCAAATAGAGGGACAAGCGCACTTTCAAATCTCTTAGAAGGTGGAGGTGGTCGCTGTTCTGGACCATTTGAAAGACTGGCTACAGCATATGCTCATTAGTGCCTGTGAGCTATTCACGCTGCTCATAAGTTACTTTTGTAACTACAAAGGTTGTTAAACAATGGACTGGCTTAGTGAGATAATCTCTGGAAATCGAAAAAGCCCATATAGTGTATGAAGCTGGTGCATATACGGGTGCTGGCCTCCATATCCACTTCCAGTGCAGCTCTCTGCCCATGGCCTGGGAAGGTGGAGAGGGTGGCTTAAATGTTCTGGTGCCTGTACCCACGCGAGAGACCCAAGGGAAGCTCCTGGCTTCAGGTCACCTTGGCTCTGGCCATTACAGCCATTCGGGGAATGAACTAGAAGATGGGAAACCTTCTCTGTGTCTCCTTTTCTCTCTCTCTCTCTTTTTTTAGAGATTTATTTTATTATATTGAAAATATAATACACAGAGAGAAGATACACAGAGAAGATACACAGAGAGAAGAAGAGAGAGCAAGATCTCCTATCTACTGGTTCACTGACAGCAAACACCGGAATTGAGCAGATCCGAACCTAGGAGCCAGGAGCTTCTTCTGGGTCTCCCATGTGGGTGCAGGGTCCCAAGCTTTGGGCCGTCCTTGACTGCTTTCCCAGGCCACAGGCAGGAAGCAGGATGGGAAGTGGGGTACCCAGGATATGAACCATATGG